CTGATTCAGAATTTGGCAATTTTCAATAAAATACATTAACTTTATGAACCTGTTTGGGGTTAGACAGTTTTGAAATGGTGTCCTTAAGGCCACAAATCTCCTAGCTGATTATAATATTGTATTTCTCTTGGAGATGCCAAAGTTAAACATCAGAGAAATATGCATAGATCAAAATACTGAATTTATTTTAAAAATTATATTTTTAAATTGGAACTGATTCAGAGAGGAATATCCCTCAGCTCTTTACAGTAAAAATTGTTGAGAATCCACACTGTAGGACTTCTCCTATGACATAGTCTCTTTTGTTATATATACGTGATAATGTAATATTCCTTTGCATAAGTTATACTATTTTACATAATATGTCTTAGTATTTAAGAAATATTATTTGCTTATTCATTTGTCTTATCCACCATTTAAACTGTTTTAAAGTGTTTAATTCAGGGGCAGTCAACTTAGTACATTCACAGTGCTGTGCAACTACCTCCACTATCTAGTTCCAGAACAATTTTATTATCCCAAAAGGAAACATCGTACCCATGTGGCAGTGACTCCTATTCTCTTCTCTCACTGGTCCTAGCACGACTATCTGCTGTTTCTATAGATTTGCTTATCCTGGAAATTTTATATAAATGGAATCATAGAATATTTTATGTCTAGCTTCTTTCACTTAACATAATGTTTGTAAGTTTGATCTATGTTGTAACAGGTATCTGTACTTCACTCCTTTTTATAGCTGAATGATATTTCAATGTATGGCCATACCACATTCTGTTTATCCATTTATTTATTGATGGACATTTGTGTTGTTTCCACCTTTTCGCTATTGTGAGTAGTGCTGCTGGGAATATTCTTTTACAAGGTTTTGTCTGAACACCTGTTTTTAATTCTTTTGGGCATATACCTGTACCTGGGAGTGGAATTGGTGGGTCACATATTTAACTTTTGGAGGAACTGCCAAACTGTTTTCCATGGTGGTTGCATCATTTTACATTCCCACCAGCAAAGTATAAGGGTTCCAATTTCTTCACATTCTTGCCAACACTTGTTATTTTCTGTTGTTTTTTTTAAAGAATTTTATATATATGTGGCTATCCTAGTGAGTGTAAAATGCTATTTCATTGTGCTTTTGATTTGCATTTCCCTAATGACTAATAACATTCAGCATCTTTTCATGTATTTATTGGCTATTTGTATATCTTCCTTGGAGAACTGTCTATTCCAGTTCCTTGCCCATTTTTTAATTGGGTTGTCTTTTTATTGTTGAATTATAAGAGTTCTTTACATTTTGGTATGAGGCCCTTAACAGATACATATGCCCAAAGGTTTAAATTTTGATGAAGTCCAATTTATCTTTATTGCTGCTGTTGTTATATGCACTTTTGGTGTCATATCTAAGAAACCACTGTCAAACCCAACGTCAGGAAGATTTGCCCCTAGGTTTTCTAAGAGTTTTCTAGCTTGCTGTAGCTGAAGATTTTTGCACTTATGTTTGTAAGGGATATTAATCTGCAGTTTTCTTTTCTTGTCATGTCTGTCTTTGGTATTAAGGTAATGTTGACCTCACAGGATTAGTTAGAAAGTGCTCCTTCTTCTTCTATTTTCTGGAAGCATTTGAGAGAATGGTGTTGATTTGTCTTTAAATGTTTGATAGAATTCACCAGTGAAACATCTTGTCCTGGGCTTTCTTTGTTGGGAAGTTTTTGATTACTAATTCAATCTCGTTATTTGTTATAGCGCTATTCACATTTTCTATTTTTTTCATGAGTTTTGACAGTTTTGTGGAAATTTGTCCATTTCATCTAGGTTATCTAATTTGTTAGTATATAACTGTTTACGGTATTCTTATTAGCCTTTTTATTTCTGTAAGACTGGTAGCAATGTCCCCACTTTTTCTGATTTTACTAATTGGAGTGTTCTTTTTTTTTTTGTCTAGCTAAAGGTTTGTCAATTTTGTTATAGCTTTTCAAAGAACCAACTTTTGGAGTCACTGATTCTCTCCATTGTTTCCCATTCTCTATTTCTGCTTCTGTTTTAGTCTTTATTTTTATCTTCCTTCTGCCAGCTTTGGGTTTCCCTTGTTCTTTTTCTAGCTCTTTAAGGTGTAAACTCAGGTTATTGATTTGAGCTTTTCTTTTTTAATGTAGTGTTTCCAGCTATAACTTTTCCTGTGAGCACTGCTTTTGCAGCATCCCATATTTTGTATATTGCATTTTCATTTTCACTCATCTCAAAGTATTTTCTAATTTCTCTTGTGATTTCTTCTTTGGCCCACTGGCTACTTAAGAGTGTGATGTTTAATTTTCACATATTTGTAGATTTTCTAGTTTTTCTTCAGTTACTGATTTCTAGTTCATTCCACTGTGGCCCAAGAAGATGATTTCTGTAATTTCAATCTTTTAAATTTTATTTAGATTTATTTTGAGGCCCAACATATGGTTTATTCTGGAGATTGTCCCATGTGCACTTGAGAAAAATGTGTCTTCTGCTGATGTTGGGAGTCTGGAATGTCTGTTAGGTGTAGTTGGTTTATAATGTTCAAATCCTCTACTTCCTATTGACCCTCAGTCTAGTTATTCTATTTAGCATATCTTTTTAAAACATGGTATCACCTTCATATGAAACTACTCCCAAGGTGACACAGGCTTTGACTATGATTGGACAAAGATTTCACGAATATACCTTTACCACCAACATGCAGACCAAGACCATAGAAGGCATTATTTTGGTATAGTAATAGGAATGATTCCTGGGATACAAATGGTTTTTTCCTTGGCCCAAATTGACAGCTGCCATTTTGCTGGTGTCTTTATCTGCAAATTGGCAATTCTATACTGTGAGTTAATAAAGAGAGCTGTATTGAAACATTTTTCTATTGTAGTTGGTCTCCTCAGAATTCCTTCTTTCCTTTGTTACTCTGAGAGTGTATGACACTAGTCTTCCTTACTTTAAACTTTCCGATTTACTTGTATCTTGTTTCTTTTAAAAATTTTGTCTATATTGCTTACTTTTGGCCCAAGAGGTTTGACTTTAATAGCCAATCAGAGCATCCTTTACTTCTGGTTGGCAAACTAAGCTAATGAATTCTAAATTTAGCTCCCTAGCTATTGCTACAATGACGTTATCAATCCCCAAATCTCACTAGCTTACAAAAATAAGCATAAATTTCTTGCTCATGGATGTGTAGGAAGCTCTATTTCATAATGCCAGATGGGTCCGTATGTGCTCCATGTGTTTCTCATTTTGGGACCAGTAGCTATCTAGGACATGCTCATTTTAAAGCAAAGACAGAAGCGAGTAGGTCAAGACAAACCAAGTAAGACATTTAAAGTGTCTGCTTGTGTCAGACCTACTAACATTACATTGGCCAAAACAAATCACATGGGTAAGCCCAACAGAGTAGGAAAACCTCCTCCTATGGGAGTGGGGAAGAGAGAGCAAGCATTTGCTGAACAATAACACCATCGACCACAGCCTTGCAAAATAAGACAAGTAGGGGCAATGTAGTGAGTTTTTCAAAAAGTTAAATTTATTTAAATTAAAGGACTTACTTTGAAGTTAAACCCTTTGTTCTTTTTAGAGTAATAATGTTCTTTCTTTTATAAAATTATAGTAATAATAGAAGGCAGTAGAACTTTCAAAGTTCTTATTACTTAACAAAATAAAAAGTTGGCAACCCTCTGTCAGTCGCCAAAATTTTAGGACAATTTTACCAGTCTACAAAAATCCCAAAGTCTACTACAAGAAAAAAAATAATCACAGACCACTGAATGTAATCCCAGGACTCTCTGGCTTTTGTTGACTATTCAGAGGCTACTCCTTGGCTTGCAAAGACATTCATTTTCTCCCTTCTCAGGTTTCATTATTCCAAATGCTTGTGATTAGGAAAGTCCATGTGTGAGAGAACTAAAATGTCATTATTTATTTCTAGTGATTTAATCTAACTTTTACCTTAAAAATAGTCCCTTTTACTCTTCAGGTCTATATATAAACTTGGTTTTGTAATACTTGGGGCCCTAGAATCTTAATGTCGTATAAATCTTTCATGTCCCTGACATGAAAATTTTAACAGGCAGTACATAAAGAATAATGGCCTATGACTCTGTAACTTTAAAAAGATGAGCTCTTATGAAGATTAAAATTTAAAAACTAGCTAGTGGTTTTACTTCCAATGTGAAAGGACACATTTAATATCTATATACATTTATGGGAATTTATAAATACTAATGATTTGTCATAGCCTTATCAAACATTAAAACTGTGCAAAATAGCAGCGTTTTGTTTGGTTTTGTCCCCTCTCACAGTACTATTAAAGCAAATGAAGCAAATGGCACTCCTATGATGACTGATTCACTCACTTCGCTCCTGACTCCACAGCTTATTCCCACCTCCTACTCTGGCTCTTCATCTTGTTTCTTACTTGTGATATTCTCCAGCTTTAGGCGCTATTAAAATGTTATAGCTACCTCATCGGTTCCAAACTAGGGGTGGGGTGGAAGAATGTGATACTGAAATGTATTACATACAAAGAACACCTTGTATAGAGACTTCTGAATTGGTCAAAACACTAAGTTTTCCATGAGTCTTGCTTTTGCAAAAGAGATTCACAATTCATTATTAAATATTAACTCATCAGACAGGATCTGTGAAATAACTTCACAATACGGCAACTGCCTTTTATTATCCTACTGATTTTGCTCAATATTAGAAAATTTGACCCAATATATATTTAGATTTCATAAATGTGCAAATCTAAAATAAGAGGCAGATACGTACCTATGAATCAGCAAGGGAAGCTTCCAAAATGGGATGAGAACTTAACTCATCCCATGTTTTGAAAGTCATGTTTGTGTCATACTTACAATTTAAATGAAGTATGTTTCTTTTACAACAGCTTGTGGGGTATATATAGAAGTTACATTTTCCCTAACTTTGAAAATGTAATTCTTATTAAAATAAGGTGAAAATTTAAAAATGTGCTTATATCATAAGCAACATACCTGCAGGTATGATCATCACTCACACTTGCAATTTCTTGGCCTTCTTTGGGATCAAACACCAAATCATTAATGAAATCTGAGTGGCCCTCTAAAACCTGACATAAAGGGAAAAGTTAATAAGAACATAGGGAAAAAAATCTACAATATTCCTACTTAATATTTTTACTTCACAGCCTTAAATGCTTTCACTGCATGCTTCTCTTTTCCATAAATATTTCTTAAGCAATCTGCTATTTTTAAAGCATGATTTATACACCCACTTTTCTGGAAGGTTTATCTTGGAAAAAAGCTGATTATTCAACACACTGCTATTAGCTTGATCTTTCTTTTCTAGTATGCATTTCTTACAAAAACACACACTTTTTTACTGTACCTGTCCTCATATTACCTTCTTTCTTACTTGTTACATAAAGCTTAAATAAAAATTAAAGCTAAGAGAACTTTCTAGGGGCACTGAGATAGAGTCTCCTTCAACTACCTACCTCATATCTGCTGCTCTGCACACTTACTGTTACCTAATAAACACACAGTATGAACTTCACCTTCTAGGGTCTTTATTCACTTGTTTAATGTGACTGCCAGCACTGGAGATAGTGTAATAAGGACACAATGAAAACCACCCAGAAATCCTCTTCTGGCTACAGAAGGGAAAAAGTGGAAGGTGCAAGGTGGAGGGCTATGTGAGCAGGCAAGGTTCGATTAGTTTAAATCTTTATAACTGAAATCCTTAAACAGACCTGTTAAATATCAGATACTTAAATATTTTAGTGGATATTGTTCTTGCTTCCTCCATTCCTTCCAAAAACTTGAATTTGATCTCAGTTCTAAGATTAATTGAGTAGTTCTATTTGGAACTGTTTACTATTTAGAAATATATCATGAGGAAAAAAAGGATTTGATTTAAACATTCCTGTGTAACTTTAACTCAGATCCTCCAAATCATTCTCCAAAGTGTATGTCACAGTCTATAGACAAACTAAAATAACATTAAATATTTAATGTCTATTACAACTAGCACATTAACTTTTGATGGGTTAAAATTTTATGTGCCACTTGGCTATCACTGGTACAGCCTTAATTAACATACATAGTACACTGTACTATTGTATAATTGTGTATAGCTCACTGTATATAGCTCAGATCATATTTTTTACTCTTTTCTAAATTGTTGGGAAGGTTTACAGTTTATCTTTGTTTTAAAACATTATTCATATTTTTGATTTACTAGAAAGTCATGAAGGCAATACTGTTTTCACAAAAAATATGATGCAATTTCAATCCAAACTAAGAGGTATTTGTTTAATTTTTTTCCTAACTTTACTGAGATATAATTGACAGATAACACTGTGTACGTTTAAAGTGTACAGCATGATGATTTGATACACATATATATTACAAAACGATTACCACCATAAGGTTAGTAAATACCTCCATCACCTCACATAATTACTATTTTGTTTTGTGTTGAGAACATTTAAGATCTATTCTCTTAACAACTTTCGAGTATGGAATACAGCATTGTTAACTCTATTCATCATGCTGTACATCAGATGACCAGCATGTATTCAACTTATGACTTGAAGTTTATACCCTTTGATCAACATCTCATTTCTCCCACTCCTAGCCCTTGATAATCACCATTCAACTCTGTTTCTATGAGTTTAACTTTTTAAAATTCCATACATAAGTGAGATCATACAGCATAGTTGACCCTTATACAATACAGAAGTTAGGGGTGCTAACCTGCAGTCAAAAATCTCCGTATAACTTTGGACTCCCCTCATACTTAATTACCCTCAGTATCTGCTGGAGACTGATTCCTGGTTGCCCCTCTCCCCAACTTTGTGGATTCCAAAATCCACAGGTGCTCAAGTCTTCTATGTGAAATGTCATAGACCAATGAATTCATGGCCCTCCACATCCACGGACTGTCAACCATGGATCAAAAACAATACAAATATTTACTGAAAAAAATCTGTGTATAAGTAGACCCATGCAGTTCAAACCTGTGTTGTTTAAAAGTCAACTGTATTTGTCTTTCTCTGCCTGACTTATTTTACAGGGCTAGTTCTTATACCAACAGAAAACAAATATATAGGGCTTACTATGCACAAAAGCATTGTTCTAAGTGTTTTATATAAATTAGCTCAATCGATCCTCATAACCCTATGAGGCAGTTGCTATGATTATCCCCATTTCACAGATAAAGAAATGAGCACACAGAGACTGGAAATGTGACCGAAGTCTCACTGTTACTAAAGTGGTAGAGTTGGGCTTCAAATCCACATGGGTTGGCCCCTGTATCTGTGCTCTAAGCAATCTGTAAACCTGCCTTGCACAACGAGGTACTGATCGTTTGTTTCTTTGACGTTCGACTCATATTCAGTGTGTGTTCATGTCTATTATATTCCTACTATGCCAACTGTGAATTTCTAATTCTCCATCATCTGCTGTGCCTATCCAATATTTTAATTCAATAAGTGATATCAGATTTATACTCTGTAATCCTTTCTAAGAACCTAGGTACTATGGCCTAAAATACAGTAAATGAGACCCTAAATTTCATACTTTAAAGATGACCATAAAAAGTCATTTTAAATTGGAATAAATCAAATTTAAAAAGCAAAAAAAAACAAATGTATGTTTTAAGATAAACTATAAATTTACAAATTATACTTGTCAACATACCTTGTATTCATTTTTATCTTGAAGATCTGAAGTAAACAATCTAATTTTCATATCAGCAGCTGAAGTACAAAATCTAGAGGTAAAATAAAAACGAAACCACTTTTAGTCTCTGTAAGTAAAAATTCTCCACCTCCTCTACCTTCTCCAGTCACCAAAGCTATTTTCATAACTTATAATTGTGCTTTCCGTTGGACAGAAGGGGTATGCTATGGCTCTGTTGTAAAAAATGTTATATAGCCATTACTGAAAATAGAAGGTACTTCCATTTTTTTTTGAAAACATACAAAAATTAGTATATTCTGGATTTACCTTGTCAATGACAAAAGTGTACAATTTTATTATAAATCATGAATTTAATTTTTAACTTTTTCTTAAAAGAATAAAAAGATGGATTATAGAAGTATCTTCATTTTAGCTAAGTCAATATTAGATATTAAAAATACTGTTACACATTTACCTGTCTTTGGCTTCTTCAGTTATCCATAAGCCTTTTTACTTTTTTTCTTCCAAATAAATTAAATTAGATGAAAAAAAAATATTTTTAAACCTATAAAAGCTGGTATATTTATATCTACTAAAGCTGGAGTAACATTTGTACTGACCTTAAACTTTAAAATATTTTTTAGTAGTTTATCAATCTACGGCATATTAAAAAAAAAAACCTAAGCAATAAACAACTACTTTTTTTTTAACTTTTAAAGTTAACCTTTAGTCCTAAAATTTTTAGATTCTCAGCGTATTAGATTATGGCTGAAGAAGAAAAAAATTATATTTATATATTGAAAAACAAAGTTTTATTTCCAATTGTTTTAGGTAAATGAGTATCATACAAATCTAAATTTCTTTAGTTTTGACTATGTGAAAGTTAAACATTTATTTCTCAACCAATTATTTAATAAAATTTAAATTATATAAAAGCAAGGCTCCTAATCTGTAGACCTAGACGTGTGGGCAAATCTCTGCTACCACAACTCTTTTCAGTGGCTGGGGAGGGGTCCATGGAGGACTTCGGGGATATACGTATCTCTTTTTGACATGTATGCTGCCTTTCATACATACAAATAAAAGATAAGAAAAACTAAAAACCAAAACTCATTCTAATTGCCTTCCTTTGAATCTGTCCTGTTACCATTTTAGATATTCATTACTTCCCTTCTCCCAGGAGAATCCAGAACAAATCTGCTACATTACTATTGTGAGGGTCTCCTAAAGCAGCTTTTCTCATAGTTATGGTTTAAAGAAATCATTTAAAAATCTCTGTTCAAAAAATCTCATCGTTAAAACAGATTAAGGCTATTTTAGTAGATTTAAAAAGCAATATCTCAGGCAAAAGGGTTTGTAAAGAAAGTATTACTAGAAAATGAGGCCAACTTCAGTAAAAACATCAGAGAACAAAGGAGTTACAGGGGTCAAAGTATCTTTACTTAAAAAGAAAATTAATGAAAGAATTTTATTAGGATTAAAAAAAAAAAAACCACAAACCACAAAACTTTATGGCTAACCTGGTGTTGCTCCCCTCTTCTCCAAATCTTTGCTGTTTTAGTTTATACATGTTAAGGACATTTAAGTCACCCTTTAATTAAACCAGAAAACCTGAGAGAACTGAAGTAAGGAGAACAGTTTATTCTCCATCAAGTGGGTATGGAAAAAGAGTTGAAAGGGAGAGGGGGAGGAAAGGAGCGAGAAAGACAGGGAGGAGTAAGGGGGGAGATGGGAGAAGGGGGGAAGACAGAGAGAGAAAGAAAACAGAATTTAAGGGAACTAAATGCTAAAGATAAAACAGTAGAAAGTGTTTCTTTCTAACTGTAAGATAAAAGTTAATAAAGGTAAGAGATGTAAATTTATACCTCGGTCATTTCTATAGACCATTATTCAGTCATGAAAAATATTATTTGCTGTGAAATACTATGGAAAAAGAAGTAAAACAGGAAGTAAAAAACTTAAATATACAGTTTAACTAGAATTGTATCAAGTTATTTATGAAAAATGGAAAGGATTGGGTACATAGAGAACATTAAAAATTTTCTGCATTTTCTAAATTTGATATAATAAACATGTATATTTTTATAGTAAAAATATATAATTTGAAAATGACAAAACGGTATGTCAGTTTGTTCTAAAAATATTGTTTTTAAAATTAATGGCTGGTTAATGTTTTGAATTATTTATATTGGTATAGTACCCAAAAGTCTTTAAGAAACATCAAAAAGCAACAAGAAAGATGAAACAATACAGCAAATCCATTAAAATAAGTCAGGAAAACAGGTGCCACACAAAACCATGGAAGGAAGATGGTTTCTATAGCTTTTGCAATTCGATGGAGAATGCAAAGAGACTGCTGACTGACTCTAGCTCCGGAGTCTGTGAACACTTCCTTTTTATAAAAGGAAATGAACAGCATACTATTAACAATGACATATGTATGTTGACGAGAGCTGTTGTGTAGATTAATCAAAATTCAGTTAGCTAAAACCTGTGAAAGCTTCTAGAACAAAACACAGAACATCTTCAGTCTTGTTATAGGCAAAATTCCTTAGATATGAAATAGAATGCACATGGAAAAGTGCTCAGCATCATAGGTCATCAGGTAAATGTCACTGTGGTACCAACCAGAAGGGCTAAAATTAAAGGCTGACAATAATAAATGCTAGAGAGCAGGTATAGTAAGTTGAATATCCTTATATTATTGGTGGGGATATAAAATTATGGAACCACTATGGAAACTGGTACTGTCTTAAAATGGTAAACATACACCTATTCTCTGATTCAGTAATTCTACTCCTAAGAAAAATGAAACCATATATGCACTGAAAGTTGTACAGAGATGCTCTGTTGTACATAGCAGCTTTAGTCATAACAGTTAAAAACTGCCAACTACTTGGTGTCCATTTATAAGAGAACGGATAAACAAATTGTGGTATATTTATACAATGTAATGGAATACTCAAAAATAAAAAGAAATGAACCGTTGGTATATACAACATGGATGAATCTCAAAAACATTAAGCCAGATACAAAAAATATTCTGTATGATTCCATTTACATGAAGTTGTAGAATAGGAAACACTCATCTGTGTTAATATAAACTGGATCAATGGTTCCTTTGGAAGGGGTTGGGGTATAGGGACTGACTGGGAAGGAGCACAAAGAGTCTTTTGAGGGTGACAGAAATGCTATGTATTACCAGTGACTGGGTTACATGAATGTATGTATTTGTCAACACTGATCAAACTTCTACTTAAGAGTTCAGAATTCCACTGTATGTAAATTATCCCTTATTTTAAAAAATTAGGTTAGCTTATAAGAGCTAACTTATGGTTAGCTAAATACTGTTTACTAAAAGAAGATCTATCTTTTAGATTTGACATTTGTGGAAGAAAGGTTAGTGTTCTGTCACAAACCTTAAATAATCTGACATATTATTTTCCCTGTGAAGAAGGTTTTAGCAGTAAGTGCTAAGGTTTTTCTCAAAAAACAACTGTTCTTTTCAAATGCTTTCACAAAAACTGAAGCCCAAGGATTATAACTATAGTTTTATGTACTGCTAAACATAAACACGTGACCTTGGTAGTATGAATGATTGATGACTCAACCAAATTTAGTTATTTTAACAGAGATATATTTTCAATAAGCGGTAAATGTAGTGAAGAACCTGTGAAGACTTAAAATGATTCAGATGAATCTCAAGTAAAGAGCTTTGTTTAACATGTGTTCAAGGCATCACTGTCAAGGCTACATATTTAAATCAGAAATTCAGACAATAAGCCTAAATTATGAAATAACAGTGCACATTAAAATATCTACTATCTGGAATTGGGGAAAACTAGAGGAAAAATGTTCCTAATGATCAAAGGCTTCAGAAGATCATTTAACACAAAGGACATAAATAAATACTGCATTTAATAATTTTAAACTTACTTGATTACTGGGGGCAATGAATCAAGTCTAGTCTCGGGGCTCCAAGCTATGCCATCGACCCTGACTCCGTGGTGAAATGTTCGTAATGTTTTATACTGAATTCCTTCAATGTCTGCTTCTTCTTCCTAAGCACACACAATAAATAAGTTAGGAGAACAAACAAAACTGTGTATTTGATTATGATGAAGAATTTATCAGGAGGCCATGTACAGTAAGTCCTCACTTAATGTCAATGATAGATTCTTGAAAACTGTAACTTTAAGCAAAACAACGTATAACGAAACCAATTTTACCAGAGGCTAATTGATATAAAATAGAGTTAAGTTACTATGGCATATTTCTGGTCATAAAAACATCACCAAACTTCTAAATAAAGACTCAAAGCACTTCTAATATTAAACACTGAAATAAATGTGAGCTATGCACACATAAGAAAGATTAATAACAACAAGAAAGTGATTTTCCAACCTGCTTATTCCAGTTAGGATCCTGGGTGGCCAGAGCCTCTCTCAGCAGCTCACAGTGCAAGGCTGGAACCCACCCTTGACAGGACACCCTTCCATCACACACCACTCACTCAGATTGGGACAACTTATCCAGGCCAATTCACCTCACATGCACATCTCTGGCATATGGGAGGAAAGAGAGTCCCTGGAGAAAATCCACAGACACGAGGAAAACATGCAAACTGCACAGACAGTGGCCATGGCTGGGAATCAATTATTTTTCTCATCAACATTATAATAAAATGAAGTTGAACTAAATGACATTATTTGAGGACCTGCTGTACATTCTTCTGAAAAGTTCAAAAGCAGATTAAACATTGACATTTAACTGGTTTATTGAACAACAAAAATATCCAAAGCTACCTAAGCCTCACAAAACAAACAGTAAACATGTTATGCTTTATCTTACTCAGAAAACATTTTATTCCTACTAGTAAACACAATTCACAGCAAACACAATGAAAATGGAATGCTCCAAGAATCAGAATATTCTAGGTAAATGAATTACCATGCATTGATTATCGGCTGACAATATAGAAATACACATCAAAGTTTTGATATGCATAACTTTGAAACCCTATGACTCAAAGTCATTATAATGAGTATCAATGATTTTCACAAAGTATTACATATGGCACTATACACGTGTAAGATGTTATGAATTATTCATCTATACTATTGCAATCTATGAACAGTAAATATGCAAATAACAACCTGGTTAATTTAGTCTTTCTGGTATTTGATTCTGGGTAAGATGTTTAATAAAGTCAGCTTATTTACCTGGTTCAGTACTTCTAAAATGATTCTAGTTTGTTCTCATGGGAAGATGAGGAAAATAAATAAATTTTAAAAAGTCAAGTAATCTATGTCTGGACAATATGGATGATAACCTGAAAGGCTTTCTTATTAAAAAATAATGCAAAAATTCAAATCCAGAGAAGCAACTGGGCACTGAGGCATGTGGCTATCTTAAGGACATCGACCCACATCCAATTAGTAAGAACTTCAGTTTGCAGGGGACTGAAGACAAAGCTCAGTGCCCGCACAAGAAAGATGCAGATCAGAGACCTCTGCATAGATCCAAGACCTTTAATGGGGAAGTAGGACACCCCCCAACCTCCCCTCGCCAAATAAAACTGCCATGTAAAATACCTACCATGGGTGAAGGCCAAGAAACCTGTGAGAATCTCAACCATTTAATGGCCATTACATGAATTTAGGGCTTGAAGTCACATTAATTATGTGCTCTAGAAAATGACCATTTATTTCAAAATGGTCATATGTTGGGTAGTGGCCCCAAGCATCTAACAAAGGCTTTTTCTCTTTGGGCGAAATACCTCTACCCAGGTTTCTAAAAGTTCCCATAGATACAGTTCATGTATCTATGCATGTATTCCTACATGTGAAAGAGTTCCACAAACACAAACAGAAGAATCAAACTTGCAAAGACATTAAAAAACTAGATAGAAAAAAGATATATTTTAAGGCAATAGAAGAGGTAATCAAAAGCCTTAGTAAGCAATGAGAGATTACCAATGACCAGGCAAATTTTAAAAAGAAAGAAAGAAAACTTTTATAACAGAAAAAAAGAAATCAATGCTGAGTATCTAGAAGGCAGATTTGAAAAAAAAAAAAATCAGAATATAGCAAAGAGAAGATAAAAAGAGATAAGAGGGAGTCAATGAGAAGCTCCATCACATATCTAATTTGGGTTGTAGCAGCGAATAGAGGAAATGGGTGAAGAGGCAATATTTGAAGTGATAATGGCAAAGGATTCTCCATACTTGATGACAGGCGCCAATATACATATTTAGAAAGAACAATAAATCTCAAGCAGCTTAAATAAAAATAAATCTGCATGCAGATAGATACAACATAGTGTAACTTCAGAACACACCCAGGAATTCTCATGGCATACACATATAGAGAGAAGAGGAGGAAAGAGAGAGATTGAGTGAGTGAGTGGAAGGGAGGGAAGAAGGGAGAAAATAATTCTTAGCAACAGAGCCAAAAATAAAAGTTTCCAATAAAGGAGACTTCCTATAAAAGAATAATAACTAGAATAACCATCAACTTCTCGGCAGAAACAAATGCAGGAAGACAGTGGAATGGTATCTTCAAAATGATGAGGAAAACCCTAGAATTGTAGACACAACAGAAAAACAAAACCCAAAAGTTGGCATCAATAAACTCTCACCAAATGTTCTCCTAAAGCAGAGCCTGGCAAACCATGGCTCGCAGGCCAAATCTGGCTCATGAGCTTAGAGTCATTTTTATATTTTTAAGGAGTTGCAAAAAACAAAGAATTGGCAACAGACGCCTAAAGTGGCTGGCAAAGCCTAAAATATTTACTACCTGGCCCTTTACAGAAAAGTTAAGTAGTAAACTTTTCCTGTGGTAAAAGATGTGTTTTCGGATGAAGAAAAATAACCCTAGAAGGCAGGCCTGAGATGTAAGGAATAGTGAATAAAAAAATCAAAAGCAAACAGGTCATTAAATCTAAACAAATATTAGCACATAAAATGCCATCAAATTTGAGAGTTGAAAAGAAAAATGAGAGAACTAAAATATAACAACAATGTAAGTCTTAGGGGAGAATAATAATCCATGTGTCAAAGGTCCTAGTTTTGTTCATGAAGTTAAAGATATCAATGTTGACTTTGTTAAAGTATGCATGTTAAAGTGTCTTTTGTAACCATTAAAATACAAATGGCACTAAAACTTCCAAAATATCAGGAAGGGAAAAAATGAAAGGAGCAGGTAACAAAACACAGAAAGAAGATAAAAAAAAATGCATATTGGCAATATTTTCACTAGTAAAACTAACAGTAACTCATACATTCAACAGAAGAATAACTTGTACAGTCATACTGTAAAACACCATACAACAGTGAAAATAAATGAATATGGACATGGAGGAATCTAACAAATATAATGTCAATAGCAACAAACTGTAGAAGAAAATACTACAGAATAATTTCATCGATATGAAGTTTAAGACATGAAAAATTTATTGCTTTGCAACACCTATACATGTGGTAACTCTATAGAGAAAAACAAGGAATGACAAATGCAAAATTTCAGACATAGTTACCACTTGGGGTGAGAAGGCAAGGCAATAAGGGAAGAATATCCCGGAGCTTCCAATTAATTGCTAATGTTCCATTTCTTTAGCTAGGTAGCTGGTATATAGTGATCTTCTTAATTATTATTCTTTCTAACTTATATAGATAATATATATTTTAAATATATTTTATAAGCTTAAAAATTGTGATTTTAAAAGTAAAGAAATCATGGTTTTGTTATTTAAATCAATACCCTAACTGGGTCTAGAGACTAAAGCAAAATATTTTGTGACAAATTTTCCCAAATAATCTTCTGTATTGACTATAGATATCTTTTATAAAAGTTTATAGGTTTGTAAAATATCAGGGAAAAGTCTAGAGTAGGTAAAATTTGATATTTAATGGAATAGTATATCTACATGGAATGGAATTATCTGAATCTAAATGCAAAATTTTATAACATTTTAATTTAATCTAGTGTAATGTATTGATTTTTTCCAGGATAGCCTTTGAGATCTTAGCAAAGTCACTTCACAAATATATTACGTGTCTTTCTCTATATAATTCAGATAACCGATGACAATAAATTTAAATTCCATATGAACTTAGAGTTAAAAGCGAAAAGTTTTTCCATAAATGAAAAAAGGATAAAAATGCATTTATCAAGGAAAGAAAAACACTGTCAAATTTTATTACTTCATAATTTGTGTGTATAATAACTGTATGGCTAACAGCCAGATATGCCAAGGCAGCAACCACTAAGCAATTTTAAAATAACATTAGAAGTCTAATCATAGCTGACTTCATAGTTTGGGTTACATCTATTTTTCCAAACTTGACAAATCAATCTTCTAAAAATGAAGTTCTTACCATCAAAACACACACTATTTTGCTACTGTTACAATGGTGTTGACAATTAGGTCCTATAATTTGTTATCCAAAGTATATATGGAGTCATTGGGTGGTCGTGGGGATAAAGAAATCCCAGGGACTATATAGCCGGAGCTTTATGTATTACCAGTGAAACCTTTTTTCCTGGCAGCAATGTCAGCCATTGAGCCAACTAAAAGGCCAGGGTGTGTGTGTGGTATAGGCAGACAAATGCTATTTTGGGTTTAGTTTGGGTGTAGGCAGTATTGTATAGGCAGGAAATTAAGATACTTTGGAAAACTTGCTACAATACAAATCATTATACAAGGTTCCAGCATATTTGAGGTTGGGGCAAAGCCAGGTTGACGAAAGGGCTATTCTAAGGATATGAAATTGGCAGGCCTTTCCACCACACCCATTTAAGGCCAAATACAGAATTTTAGTTAGATGAGACTGTAAAGTTTACCTAGTCCACTTCTTTCAATGAATGCTTGAATCTCTAGCACAACATCTAAAAAAGGACATTGTACAACCCTTCTCTGAACACTTTCAGTGACAGGGAACTAGCTACTTCTTGGGGGAAGCTTATTTCATTTGGGGGTAATTCTAATAATTAGAAGAGTTCTCTTTAGCATTAAATCAAAATCTCTTGCCATGTAAATTCTACTTCTGACTGCAAATTCTGTTCTCTGGAACCATACAGAGGAAGTCTAATTCAGTGATGGCAAATACCAGGCCATAGCTGATTCCTCCTAGGTGAATACACTCAAAGGAGATTCAGCATGTCTTTAATGCACTATAAGCAACAACTCCACTCAAATAGAACTGACAATACAAAATACATTTATCACTGTGAGTCTAATCCCTCTTTTATATGACAGTTTAAAACATTTTCATACCACTGTGAAATTTGTCTTCAAATACATTATCTCATTTGAATTATAATACACTGCTGAGAACTGAAGTAAGCATTAGATATTACTGTCAATTTACAGAGAACATAGAGCCGTGCTGTCCAATATGGTAGCAACTAGACACATGGGGCTTTGAAGCAGTTGACATGTGGCTAGTTCAAGCTGAGATGTGTATACTTTATAAAGTACAAAATCCACACCAGATTTCAGACTTAGTATAAAAGAATGTAAAATATCTCATTAATAATTTATATTGGTCACAAAATTGGTCATAAAATATTTGAATATGCTAGTAAAAATTAATTTCATGTTTTTCACTTTTCATAATGTGGTTACTACAACATTTAAATTTATATTTGTGGCTAACATTGTATTTCTGTTGGACAGCACTGAATTAGCTCCCTTTGGCAGTTTAATCTTTGCATTGATTCATGGCGAATATCCAGGTGACCAAAAACCAGTCACAATTCTCTCTTTTAGCTCTAGCGGTCTATCATTTTAAGACTTTATATTCATTTGTATTAATTTTAGTTTGTTCAACTTGACCCGTTAATTTAATCTATTAAACAGTATTTGGATTCTGAGCAGAATCTGGCATACAGTAGATGCTCAAAAAATATTTGTTAAATGAAATCTGCCATCCAAAGCATTTAGGTATCCTTTTCCGCTTCATGTTCTATATAAATTGAATGTGCTTGCCTAAGTGTTTTCATCCAAGTCCCAGCATTGGCCTTAATTCATTATTGATGACCCTCTGAATAGACTTAGGACAGTGCCCTTGCTTTTTTAACATATGTATTACCAGTTCCCTGCACCAGATCTGCACTTAACGCACATTGACAAATAATGACATCAATATTACTATCATTGAGCTCAAATTTCCATCATATTCAAAAGAACACCATGAGACTCTGAAAAGTGGTTTGCTGAAATTCAAATTCTCTATTGGCTGTGTTTTCCTAACAGTACTAGAATGAAGATGGCCTGAAAGGAATGTGGAACTCTTCAATTCAATTTACCTTAGACAAGGAGGCATTAAATTGGGTACAATGGAACTTGAAGGTTCCATTTGTATATAAATAAGAGCAATGATTAATATTGCTTAACTCATTAGATAAAAAATAACTTCAAAGGGAAGTAATAATTTATTCTGAAGTCCCAAGGGCAAATTACTGGAACTCAATTCTCTTCCATAAATGTTTGAACCATGGCTTCAACCTATCTGAATAGCAGCACAGAAAGAAAAGGACAGGGGTTTAAAAATAGGGCCTAGATCTTGTTTTTTCATTTACTAGTCATACAAATTCCTGAAATTCTTTGAAGTAGGATGGAAATTCCATGAGGACAGGAACAATTGTTTAACCATATCTACAGTACTTGGCACAGAATATTATTTGTGTTCACTACTTAACAATTAATAAAAATGCAATTCTTTCCTTAGGTAATTTGGGGATAAGACCTACATTGGCAGTCTCGGAGGTCTGAGGAGTAATAGAAACAAAGCATATGACTGCAAACCATATGGGGCAATACAAATGTTTTTGCTAGTTCTTTTTTCTCATTTTGTCATTTTCTCTTTTTGCTCCCATTTCTCTCTCTGCTACCCATCACCTCCGCCTTTCCTTTTTCCTACTTTTTTCTCCCTTCTTGACTTTCTCCCTGAACATATTTCTTAGCTGAACATAAAACTGGAGATAAAGCTAATATTTTTTCAATATTTTTGAATTCAATATTATGTTCACAGCTATTAATTTTAAAAACAAGTAAATATTTAAATTGAAGGGGGCTGCTTTGTTCTTTTGTAGATTGGTAGTATGAATTAGAAAAATGGTTTCCCTTCAGTCTTTTTCAAGAGTGTGTTATATTATTCTTCTTAATGTGACTTTTTATCATCCTAAACTGGGAGTACAGCTAAAGTCAGTCTGAGGGTCATACTTAGCCTAAAAGCTAGAAATTCCTACCCCAACCCTAAGAGGCAATATGGAATAATGTAAGAGCTCTTGTAGTCTATTCAGAAACCAATACACTGAAGCCTTAATTCATACTTTCCTTTTAGGATAAAATAAGCATGCAGTCTAATTTTCTATACTTTATATATTTATTGCACTGTAAAATGCTGAATTACAACATGTCAAAACATTATAAGATACTGAACTGCCTCCTGAGTAAAAGAGGGAACACTATTTATAAATATCATTCTGGCGATAGTTATTTTACATCTTTAAAAACTGGTCACTCTCAAATTACTTCATTGATTAATCTTAATTTGAGAAATACTGTTCTATGAATAATATTCTGGTAAACAAAAGTTTAACCAGAGATTCCTGATATTCAACTATTGTTCAAAGTCTCTGTTACATGTAGAACTAGCTTCCCTGTGAGAAAACATGGTATGTGCTAACTACAAAACAATCTTAAATATGGGGCTGTGCCTGAGTGTCACAGTTGACCAAATCAACGACAGCTAAAACATATGTATGTATTAAATGTGCCAGATGCCTTCCGGGAACTTTATATGTACTAATTCATTATATTTTCATAAAACCCTATTATTTTCCTCGTTTTTATAGAAGAGAGATTAAGTATCTACACAAGGTCATATAGCTATTAAGAGGTAAAGCCAGACGGAAGTAAAAACTTAGGCATTTTGGCTCCAGAGTTCATTGTCTTAATTATTATGCTAAACTGCCTGTTCAATTAATATGATCCCATATTTTGTATATTCTAGATGTATGTTTTGTACACTTTAGATGTATAAAAAGTATGCAAGTATATTAATAGAAAAGCAGAAAATCATGACAGATATAAAATTTCCTGGAAGATAGTTTAGGCTTTCGACATTAGTTTGTTTCCTATCTCAAGGTGGAATGTAGAAAAATTGGATTAAATAATTTATTAGATCTTATTTAATTGGTATTTCTCCTGTATATACTTATGGTCAGTTAATCATAACCTTCGATTATGAAAATATTCGTAATTTCTAATTATGAGGCAAATGAGAAGACTTATATTGTTCTTTTTCACTAATGTTTGCACACATCTTAGGCATATAATGCTGGTAATGTCTTTGTAGTTCTTCGTATCATTTTTTTACATTCAAACTCAATATACTTTCAACGTTTAGCAAAAGTTTACCAGTTTTTACTTTTCTTATCAGTGAAATATCTTCACTGTCATTCACTGCAATTTTGTACACTAACCTGAAATGTACACATGCCAATGACCACGTAATTATTGCCACCATAGGCAATTAGGTTTCCTGAATCCCCACTCTCAAAGGGATTAAATTCTACCACATGCACATAATCTTCACAATTCACAGTGTAGGTAGCACTTCTTGTGGCATCTTGCTTCATCTTGTATGTCAAAGGTTGAGCAGTTGTAAAAATAAAACAGCCTTCTACTGGACAAGGTCATGAAACTGTGGATTACAGCACAGATACAGTTAGATAGAAACAATCAAAATGTTACTTTCAGCAAATGAATCAAAGTAAGAACATTATTGCAAATGCCAGACAGCTCAAAAGAAATTATTTAAATACTCTGTGAATGATAACTGCAGTATAAATCATCATAATTTTGTTTAGATTGTCTAAAAGATAATAGGGAGTATTTAAAAACAGAATCACTTTAATAGTAAATATATTTTAAAAAATTAATGTTAATATTTACAAAGCACTATTTGCAGATGCCATGTTATGCATTTTACTGATATTATCACACCAAATATTTGCATAAACTAAGACGGAGGTACTACCTATGGTTCTCATTTTACAAATGAAGAAAACAAGGCTTTAAGACATTAACTAGCTTGCAAAGCTTGTAAGATGAACCAGAATTTGAAAACTTTATTATGTTGGACACCAGAGCTAGAGAAGAAAAACAAGAGCTCTCAGTCTTGAAAGAGCTCACAATCCAGGGATAGTCAATGGTTCAGAGTGAAAAGTGCTATAAGCAGATAGGAAATACAGGACCTAGAAGGAGTGCCAAAAAGTGTGATATAAAAATAATATTCATAAAACCAGGCACAAAACCTCCATTAACCTGTCGTGGCCTGGTGTGCACTCTGGAAATAACATTCCTAGATGAGACTTAAGAGTTTTTGTTGTTGTTGTTTCAATAGGATGCAGAAGTGGTCCTGAAAACAGTTGGGCTCAGTAACAAACACGCAAATATCTGATGAGTATTTAACTAAGAATCAGACGAGATGAGTCCAACCTCATGGAACCTATACACTAGTAACCTTAACAAGTGGACATCCTGGACTGAACATTTGTTAAGTGTGACTAGCAGGTGAGATGCCCTCAGACGGACAGCGGTGTGGGAAGTGCAAAAGATTCAAGGTTAAGATCCTCGGTTCCTATTTTTATTAAAGTAGTGCTCGTTCTCACTACTTCATCAGAGTCTAACAGTACAGGGTGGGCTGGACTGGTCTCTCCAAAATTGGAAGTGTAGAAGAGGGAGAGAATAAGAGAAGTTCCTGCAAAGAAATCCGAAGCCTCTTCGTGTCAGGCAGGCCCCGCGAGACCCCGCTACCGCCTCCCCCAGCCAAGATCGGAGAAAATACGGGTGGAAAATCCCCGGGGAGCGCGGGGTGGTCAGTAGCAAACCGGTGCGGTCCCCAGGGCTCGGTGATACGCACCGGAGACCGCCGAGAAGCGGTCAGAAGCAAGCTGATCTCGGTAGAAGGATGCCGTGGCTCGCGTCGATTCTGCTTCCGAGTCAGAGGGCGGAAGCGGCGATTGGCTCCCACGCCCTCCCGCGAGATTTAAAATGTAACCGGAAACGACTTGAACAGCAGAGACTGCAGCTGGGTGGGACCTTACTTCAGTTGAGTGTGCAGCACTGGGGTCTTCCCCAAGCCAGGTGAGTCTCACGTCTTCTTAACCTGCCTGTCACACTTTCAGTGTTGATTGAAGTCGCGAGTATTTCGGTGACAGCCAACTGCCATGTGACCAATTGGGGCATTATTTGTGCAGTGGCTTCGCCGTAGAGCCTGATTGGGTCTGGAAGTATTGAACAGAGTTCACAGTATCTAGTAATGGGTGGAGCTGAGAGGCTGAGGCCCATAGGGACCTACTTAGGTTCATTATTTAGGCACTAAACCAGATTTTTAGTCCCCAAACATCCGAAGACTCCAATTCTGGTACATTCGCTCTCCGTATTGAATCCTCCCAAGGGATGTTTTGAGCCTGCATTCTGACAATGATAGCAGTGACTGTCGTTTTCTATTGAGCACCTATTAAGTGCTTGGCATTAGGTGGGTTATTGTCTCGGCAACGTCTCATAATCTTATAAGGCAGGAGATATCCTCCCCGTTTTACAGATGAAGAAATATATGCTCATAAGAGATTTTAAATACTGAAGGGCATACAGCTAACAAATAGGAGAGCCTGGATGCCGATCCTTGACTTTCTGACTCAAAACTAGTTTTTTTAATCATCTCACACTGCTTCCCCAGTGACAATTTTCCATCTCACAATTTTTGTTCCAGTGCAGCTTGGAATCCCGTTTTGTAAAGCAAGTATTCTTATCGCTTCAGCCTTCTAGTGTTTTCGTGCAGTGTAGCCTGACATTTAGAGTGCTTGCATATTCATTATCTCATTGACTCCTCATAACTGGCTGGAAGGTTTTATTCCTGTTTTCTATCTGATGTTACCTCTACCTAAAGCAGTCAAGTGTAAAGATTATTGCCGAGGCTCACATAGCCTGCTGGCTACTAGAAAAATTGAGACTAAACCAGAGTTGGCAAACTCTCCGCAATGCCTGTTCTTGTGCAGCCAGCTCCCAAGCCAGAAATGTATTTTATATGTTTAAATGGTTGGGGTGGGGTGGGGTGGGGAGATCAAAAGAAAATAATATCTTGTGGTGTGTGAAAATTATGTAACATTCAAATATCAGTTTTTATTAAGTTTTGTTGAAGCTCCTTTGTTTATGTATTATCCATGGCCATTTTCACACTGGAAGGTCATTAAGTTGAATAGTTGTAACAGAGACTGGCCTGCACTCCTCAAATAGTTACGATATGGCCCTCTCCAAAAAGTGTACTGACCCCTGAATGAGACTGTTGGCTTTTTTATGTGCCACGTACTATTTTAGAAACTTAACTTGTATTTATGTCATTTACTTCTCATGAAACCCCATGAGATAGGAACTGTTATTATTTTCATTTGTAGTGTAAGGAAGCTGAGGTAGGGAGAAGTGACATAACTTGGGAAAGATCTCAGAGCTAGTAACTGGTGGAGCCAGGATTCAGAATAGTCTAATTTCAGATTAGTCTTTCTTTTTAGTAATCTGAACTCATAGTACCTTTAAATAATACCAGTAAATAATTTACTACTAAAGATTTATTTCAGTCATATTGATCATCTCACTGAAGCTTTTTCTTATAAGAGATGAGGGAGATATTTTGAAGAGAAATATAATTCTTAGCTATTTACCAGGATTTGTGTTTATGTAGATACTTTACCTTACAGTCTTATACCTGTATCTTTAAGTTGAATCACTGATTATGTATATAATTATTTTATAAATGGCATATGCCCATTTTCTTGATCATATAAACCCAGATACACAGTAAATATCTGAGATTTTGTTTATGCCATTAAAGAAAGAAGAAAAAGATCACAGAAGGAGTAAATAAATGGGATGTGTACAGAACAATACCTCAAATAAGATAATATGTGAATATGTTGGAGACTGGGGTAAAAAAAAAACACAACTTTTTAGCAGGTACGCCTGTAAACTTAGAGAAAGGAATTGGCTGCCTTACATAGGCTTGGGTATGTAAAACATTAGAACTATCTCCAATTATTTTGAAAGCTTTTTGTTTGTTAGGATAAGTTATGTAATATAGTGATTTAAGAGCACAGCCTATGGAGTTAGGCGTCTTGGGTTTAGGTCTGTTTGATCATTTGCTAGCTAGTGACATGGGGTATCAGTTTTTTCCGATGTAAAATGAGGATAATAATAGACTTTCCTCATAGGACTCTTGTGAAGATTGAATGAAGTAATAGATATGAAGCTTTTGAAAAGTATTTGGTACCAAGAAACTTCCTAAATTAGATATTGTGTTGGTTATCTATTGCTATTTAACAAACCACCCCAAAACTTAGTGGCGTTAAAACAACATATTTGCTTATGATTCTATGGATCAGCAGTTTGGGCTGGACTCAAGTAGGTGGTTCTGCTGGTCTTTTCCTGGGATTGCTCATGTGGCTGCAGTTCATCTGGCAGGTCGATTGGGGCTAGCTAGTCTTAAGATAGTCTCACTGGCATGTCTGTGAAATGGTATTGGTTGTCAGTTGGGGCACCTTGATTTTGCTTCATATGACCTTTCCAGCAGGCTAGCTTGGACGTCTTCATATGGCAGTCTGAGAGTGAGAGCTAATGCCTCAAGGTTTTATGTCAGATGGCCGCCCAGACCACCTTCTGGTTGGATGATTTTCTGAGAGAACTTAGAGGACTCAGCATATAGTTGTACTCACAGCTGTAATTGCTAACAGCAAAGAGATACTAAGCAAAATAAGCAAAGGAAGCAAGCGCATGGGGAAAAGTCTAGGGGAGACCGGCACAAGCTTCCAAAGTTCCTCTTAGTGGAGTCACACAGGACATGCTTAATTTCTTTAGCAACGAGTTGTGACAACGTGTGAAATGTTGTGTGCCAGGGAAACTGTTTAGAGATTCAGTGCCCAGAATATTTGCTGGGGACCGAACACGTAGACATCCTCTGTCTTTATTCGAAAATTCCAGACTGAGAAGAAAAGCATGTGTTCAGCATAAACTCTATTGTTTGTGCAAACAACTTAGGCACAGTGAGCCCCTCTTACTGGAATCCCTCCTGAAATCTAAGTTCCCAGATGCCAACCAAGTGCCAACCTTGTAAGCAGGACTTTCAATGAATAGCAGCTCTAGGCCTGGAACTCCCACGATGTCCTTCTTGACACTTTCTGTTGGCCAAGTTAAGTTACAAGGCCAACTCAGATTCAAAGGGGTAGAAAAATGGACCATCTCCTTTGGGACAATATAAGGATGAGGAGAAATTGGCTTTGTCACGCGGCTCCAATCTACCACAGTGACTACCACCTATCTCAGAACAAATATTTCTAAATACAACTTTAATTAGCTATGTCTGTGTCTTTAATTATAAGTTCATGGAATTGGTGTATCTGTTTTGTATGAATTTTCAGATTGAAGGTTGAATTTTGTTGTTTCAAATGATTTGGCTTAAGAAGACTAAAGGAAAGGAAAATATGATTGGGAAGAAATTGTTTTATTCTGTTTTCCTAAATTTAATTAAAAGTAATCTTAGTAAATATGAAATGACCTCTCATTCATTACTTATTTTTCTCTAACTCTGCTTGCTTACATATGTTAAATATTAATTTCCAATTAAAATAAAGCTTTTTAATATTACATTCTGTCCTACTTTAAGAGGATGGCTGTGTTTAATCAGAAGTCTGTTTTGGATATGATTAAAGAGTTCAGAAGGAATTGGCATACTCTTTGTGACTCTGAGAGAACTACTGTATGTGGTGCAGACTCCATGCTCTTGGCATTGCAGCTTTCCATGGCAGAGAATAACAAACAGGTTAGTAGACTAAATACAGGTTAACTTTGATTTTAAGTGAATTTTGGTTACTGCCCATTTGAATAAACTTTGTTAATTTCTTTTCAATAGATTTCCTCCTATGATAATACCAGTGTGCTGTTTACACAAATGCTTCTGCATATCTGTGTCAAAAATTACTGTTGGATTTGAAACGATTTGTTTAAAAATTAAGGTCTTCATATGTATATTTCAACATAGGACATGTACATTTGATGTTTAACTTAAAGTCTTCAGATAAACATGCGACTATTATGATATTATGGTTAAAAATTATTTTTATTTTATGACTTTTTTTCTCTAAAAATTCTAGAAGGCACACAAAAATAATGTTTACTTAAATATAATCAAAATATTTTTGACTAATTAAAGACTCTGTAGATTAAATTAATTGTTCCTAGGCCAGGCTATGAATCAGAATCATTTGGGAGGGCTTTTAAAATATATTGGCTCCTGTGCCTCAATCTTGGAAATTCTGATTTTCTTAAAATGCACTGAGACACTGGAAATTGCTCTTGTTTAATCTCTCCAAAGTGATTGCTACATAGTTGGCTTGGGCCAAACCGATCTTTGGAATGAACTCTACCTTGTTCAGGTAAGAGAAGGATGAAGGTAGGCTCCGTGGTAATGGAAGACTTCCTGACTTTTAAATAGTATACTTTAGGGAAGGGAAGTCTTTGGATGGGAAAGGTTTAAAGAAGGGATAAAGGGCGGGGAAAGTTCAGAAGAAGCATCCAGGGGGATCAAATTCATGATGGTTTGAAGATGGTAAGGAGACTGTCTTGACTAGAGAAGATTTTTAGAGTGTGGAATTGGTTTCCATGGATCTGCTGAGCTAGGTAGTGAAGTGACATTCTGATGAATTATTTTAATCCCATATGCAAGTCATTCCCAGAATTTTAGATTTCATATACCAGTAAAATTTCCAAAAAAAAGAAAAAGGACATTGACAGATTTGAACATTTCTCCTGTTGGCAAATAAGGCCATTAAGAAAAAATAATTACAAGAACCATCATTTTAACGCCTAAAAATTAGTAATTATGTTATCTTAAAACAAGAGATGATCTTTCCTATACCTGGATAATTGGCAGTTTTGCATATTTAAAACAATCTATATTAAGAAATTCTGAACATAGAAAAATTTTGACAAAATTTTTAATAGTCATTCTTTCAACAAATATACATTGAGTTTTTACTATGTGCTAGACATTCTAAGCATTAGGAATATAGCACTGAAGGAAATCATTGCTCTTATGGAATTAATCTTTTATTCAAGAGAAGAGCTAGTACTCTAATAAAGATATTTAGTGTTTTAAGTCATAATAAGTGCTACAGAGATATAACTGAAGAGTACATGGAGGACTTCTTGTAATTTAAGATAGAGTGATCAAAGAAAGCCTCATCTAGAAGTTGCTGTTTGAGCAAAGATTTGAAAGAGGGGAAGAAGGAGCTAGTCATGGGGATTTAGGTGGGAAGGGACTATTAGGCAAAGGGAGTAGTAGATACAAGGGCCCTGAGGTGAGAATATGCCTGGCAGGTTCAAGGAACAGCAAGGAGGCCAATTACAGTTATTTATATAAATGTTAATTTCTTCTCTTTCTTCCTCCCTTCCACAGATTTATTTTCCTTCCTTCCTTCCTTCCTTCCTTCCTTCCTTCCTTCCTTCCTTCCTTCCTTCCTTCCTTC